GTTTATTGTTAAGTTCAAGTGACCTGTTGACCCCAGGATATTGGTCTTGTTAGTTGAGGTCAAGGTCGACTTCCCCTGATTGGAGTATACCGGAACATCGCTTTTCAAGGGCAGCCCCCTCTAAAATTCCCTTTTTGTTTCGGCTCCTCCAGGATACTGCCTGGTGGGCTTCTCTTTTTTATCGGTCAATATTAGAAACTGTGTGGTAGGTCTAATCATCTCTCTCTTTCCCTCTTATATTTTTCTGTTCTTTCTTTCTTTCTATAACTTCATCAGTATCGTCTTTTCTGGTAGCCTCTCTATTTTCTTTTTTCTCCCGTGGTCCCCGTTAGTCGACGCAACCCCCTCCACCCCTACCTAGACCGACTTGTATTGGTAATATTCGTATAGCTAACTAGTTATATAATTAAACATGATAGGAAGAGACGCAGAAAGTCAAGGCGAAACAGCCATTACTCTAAAGCTGCTTATAATTATTAAGTACATGCGAGTAAAAGATGCGCCCACTAGTCATACCCTCCATCGCCATGGGCTGTGAGTCCCATGCCTCAATAACAGTTTACAAACGGAGGAGGCGCCCCTGCTGAACGGAAAATATTCTCAGTCCCCAACACGTGTCAGCAGATCTGACCACGTATGAACTGTAACATTTTACAGACAGTATAGGTCAGACAGCTGTATCGGTTTACAGAGTCTTGCTAAAAACAATCAGAGGAAACGCAGAGAAACTGGAGATTACGCGACACGGATATCATTTGCTGAACAAAAATTATACGTATATGCTTTTTTTTATTTATTTTATGACAAAGTGTTTTTCACCACAAATGAGTTTTCTTTCATGACCACCGCCCTGGGTTTCTTAGCCTCCCTCTCTCTCTCTCTCTCTCTCTCTCTCTCTCTCTCTCTCTCTCTCTCTCTCTCTCATTCTCGCGCTCTCTCTCTCTCTCTCTCTCTCTCTCTCTCTCTCTCTCTCTCTCTCTCTCTCTCTCTCTCTCTTTTTAAAGTCACAGAGAGGGCGCTTCACCTCTATCTTGAGAGGATTCAAAGTGTAACTGAGCACAACGCAGTGAGTTTGACAAGTGATACAAGTCTAATGCCGATTCTCCTTCTTCTTCTACTACATCGCTGTCTTCTTCTTTCTTTTTATTCTTTTCTCTTTTTCTTCTTTCTTCTTCTTCCGTTTTATTCTGCTTTCTTCTTCTTCTTCTTTTTCTTCTTCCTCTTCTTCTTCTTCTTTTTTATCTTTTTCTTCTTTCTTCTTCTTTTATTTTCTTTCTTTCGTCTTCTTCTTCTTCTTCTTCTTCTTCTTCTTCTTCTTCTTCTTCTTCTTCTTCTTCTTCTTTCTTCTCCTTTCATTGTCTTTTTTTTCATCTTCTTTTCTTCTTCTTTCTTCTTCTTCTTTCATTTTCTTCTTTTTTCTTCTTTATTCTTCTTCTTTGTTCTTCTTTCATTTTCTTTCTTTCTTCTTCTTCTTCTTTTTTTCTGTCTTTATTTCTTATTTTTCTTTTTCTTCTTTTTCTTTTCTTTTTAATTTTTTTTCCTTCCCTTAATCAATAATTGCTTATTGCTCTGCTTTGAAGTTTGTTGAGAGTTTTCTGGAGGCGCAGCATGACGACCGATTCAGCTCCTCTGTGTTTTTATTTTTTTTTATTTTAGCTCCCCCCACTGATCTATCGGTGTATACGTGTGTCTATTCAGGTCTTGGATAACACAACAGTTGTAGATATTTTCAGATGTCTTTGCAGGTCAAATTCTTCAGCCTTTCTGTAAATGCCTGGAATTGTTGTTGTGACTGTATAGTTAGGCCGCTTATGTTTAACGGAGGACTTTGATAGGGCAGCTGAAAAAAAGTTGCAAATGATCTGTTTCAATGTAAATGGAGGATATCGCGTTCACACGATTACAATGTTATATTATACAATATCAAATATTGCAGCAAAGAAAAAACGGGTTAGTTCAACCGTTTTTGTAGAACATACAATAGAGCACTATTGGCTGGCTGGTATGTAGATAAGGAACATTTTTTTTTCTTCTTATAATAGCTCTTTGCTTGCTTGCTGAATTGCGTATTTTAGCATTTCCCATCGCTCATTTAAACTACTGGACGTAAATTTGCCTAGAGAAACCACACAACAGCTACTGGCTGCTGGGGTTGGTTCTGCAACGTTCTGTAAAGGATACGCAACTAGCATTGCTCACTTATACTTTAAATTTTAGTTATTTCTGTATACTCCTTCTTTTCTTCGGTCTGATTTTCACGTATCCACAAAGTGGCATGTGGTCATCACCAGCCGCACGTACTGAACGATGTAATCAACATAACGCCATTACTATATCCTAACGGTTGAAAGCGGTTTGCAGGACCTCACCACGGGTGATCCTTATCCGCATGGTGGCACTTTGTGTCACTAGGTGTTTATCGCTATGAGTTATGACTATTAACAACACAAATCGGTCTAGGCATGGATCGTCGTCTAGCGGGGACGACGTGTAAAACATAAAAAAAAAAAAAAAAAAAACAAGTGGCTACTCAAAAGTCTCAAAGTGCTTCAAGTGCCTCATGTGTCTTAAAGTGTTTCAAGTGCCTCATGTGTCTCAATGTGTTTAAAGTGACTCATGTTCTCAAAGTGCTTCAAGTGTCTCAAACTGCTTCAAGTGATTTATGTGTCTCAAAGTGCTTCAAGTGCTTCATGTGCCTCAAAGTGCTTTAAGTGTCTCATGATATGGATAATTAACATGTAAAACTACTCACGATGTGGACAATGACAATACACATAACAAACTCTTTAATCTAAATGCCACATCTGAACTGTGTCCATGTGTTTTCCACAAGACCTCTCTAGTTACATTTCAAACTTACTGCATTCTAGCAACAGATTGATACAACTCATTCAATACTTAGTGCAGCCACACTGTCAGCAGCGGCATGTTCAAAGAACCTATCCAATCATAAAGTTATTACTCACTCAACCGTAACTTGCCTAAAGGTCTCACGGTAATATGAATCTGTTTAAAGCGCATGTGACGTATCGACATCTATGCGAGTGAGAGTTTGCTTGTTACAAGAATATTTAATCTTGGCACTGCTAGATTTACATTACTTTCGAGTTGAGAGTAAAGTATCTGACATCTAGGCGAGCATACATGAGTCTATGCTATATTCCTGTTTACATTTCATGGTGAGCATACTGACTGTAAATGTATAATGTTAGGTTTGTTTGGTGGGAGTCGCCGTGGCTTTGGCGGATAGAGGCCCGTCTGCGGTTTGGAAGGTCGTGGGTTCGCGTCTCGACGGAGCAACACTTTGTTTTTTTTTTCAAAATGACCTTGACTCACAGGTCGATCCTGCCTGAGTGGGTACCAGGTGCAGTCCTGCGAAGTAAAGGCGGCCGGTGTGAAGCTGAACACATTACCCACCAAGTGCTGATTGTTCTGTAAAAATATAGGTCTAGCCCTATATTCCCAGTGCTTAAAGACGTGGAAAAAGCACCTTCAATTTTACTTTACTTTAGGCTTTCTTGATAAGTAAACATCGGCGTGTCTCACTCTCGCCAAACCAGCTGTGTGATCTTTAAAGCTGTGATAAAGTTTTGTGACTATGGAAGTTCACGAGGCGGGAGAGCTGGCGAGAGACTGGTTTTTTTCATTCTGACAGTGATTATAGCGACTTTCTGCGAAGGGCCTGCTACAGGATAATGAGAGATACAGATCTTTATTTCTACTGAACGATCTACAGTGGATCTCATGAGATACGCAGCATTTGTTGTTTTTTTCTACGGCCGACCCATAATGCTTTACGCCTATCTCTGCTAGTATGTATCCGCCTAAATCCTTTGCACGCTTAGTAAAGTCGTTGTGGTGAGACTCAGGATGGCTTGATACTGATCTCATTCTAAGTCCGAACGACTTCTTTAGTCATTTCCATCGACGCCTGCGTGTCCCGGAACAAAAATAAAGGTGACTCCACGCACAGTGGACTTCTGTAATGATTCAAGCCATTGTCTTCGCACTGAACCTGCCTGAACCTCCGGATCATACTCATTGAATCACTGAGTATACATACACAAGTGTATTTTTGTGTTTCAAGCCAGGCAAACGCTTGCGTCACTGCCATCACCTCCATCGTCATGCTGCTGGTTGTCATGGAGAAGGCGCGGTTGGCTTCTTTGACTGTTCTGCCCGCTGAGCGTATATATATAAATAAAGGGGCGGACCAACTGGCAAGAAGTGCACCAGTGCATACGTTAAGAAGGAATGGACAGAGCCGATATCATCCGCGATCTACAAACTCGATAGGAGACACTGAAGCCAACTTTCAATGTGGGCCATCAGTAGAGGTACCTTGGAGTGGCTGCTGCACAGAGGGACGGCACGCATGGGGATGTCCGTGTGTAGTGTATGTCGACTGTGATAACATAAGCAGGTTATTTCAACTGTGTACAGCAGATCTACTAATGTTTTAGATTAATTTGAGTTTAGGTTTAAACAACGAATCACCATCATCGCACAAGGGCAGTAACTCATTAGTGCTCCGTTCAACTTCTAACTCAAGTCTTGAGTCTGGAGAATCTGAACTTAGTGCACGAACTCCATAGCATCGGCGAGGATCCTAAAATACTTTGGGTAGGTTTTTTAACTCTAAATGTTGCCCAGGCAGCGCCGTTAGGTAACACTTGTTGATTTCCAACTGTCAGGTTGTTGTTTTTTTTTTTTTTTTTTACGTGAGCTGGCGGGCGTTTGATCTCACTACCCAGAGACAGGAGAGTTTACTAAAAGTCCACGTGAAAAAATCCCAACCTTCAACGGTGGCTGAACCGAGGACTTCTAACACTCAAGGAGGATGCCATGCCCCGAGACCACGCAGAGCACTGTTTTTCATTAATGTGAATGTCTAAGGAAATATCACAATATCTGCACTTTACGAATATAACTCGCTGTGATTTGTATTAATGCTGTAGATGCTATTTTTTTTTCTTCTGTCTTCATTTTAATGTTAATAGTTTACAATGGGCGTATTCTCTAACTCTGTTATTAGTGGCGTTTCTGCTGGAAATGGGTGCAAGCCTGAGTGCAGTCACAAAGGATGGAGATACGCCCCTGCACTTTGCTGCACGCTACAATCGACTCAAAATGGCGCGATTCTTGTCTTTGATGGGTGCGGATATCAACTCTACAAACCTGCAACAAGAGACGCCCCTGCATGTAACCATCGTTAGCCATAGTCTGGACGTAGCCAAAGTTCTCATCAAGGTTTGTCTAATTACCGAAATTATTAAATATTGCTTGTAAGAACACAGCGAATGATGTTTCCAACGTTTGTCTAACTACTGAAAAGATCGATCATACAACATATTTCTTTTAATCTTTTTTTTTTTCAGTCACGACCCCATTTTTCCTCTAACCGCACACACATTTTAAGGCTGAGACTAGAATTAAAAATCGACATCACAATACTCGGGACATTCCCATAAGCGCTTCGTCCCCATCTTCAGCAGGCAGGGAAGAGAACGATTCCAATGATGCTAATGCTGACCGATTATCTGTGGACCTAGTCTTTCTCTGACACGGGTCTCCTGGTCTCACTTGATAGATTTCTTGCCAAGCCTGTGGCGTGTCGGACATATGGTGTTAGACCCATATCTTATAGATTAATTAGCCCTGGGTGGGTGATAGGTCAACATGACGCCGTCCGTCTTTACCTCCCAGGACAACCCCTGATTGGTGCCAAAATGCAGCAGCCAGCGAGGCTGCTTTAGGTTAACGCAATAACAATAAAACATTCGTTAAGCAAATCCAAATTCGTTAGCTGATACCCAAAAAAAAAACATTTATCTTCGTTGGTCGAAACAAATCGTTAGCCAAAGTAACACTAAAAGTAAAGTAAAGGTCCCTTTTCTTCACCTTTAGGCGGATTGGGCATATAGGGCTAGACCTATATTTGTATTGACCGATCGGCACTTGGTGGCTGATGTGGTCAGCATCACGCAGGCGAAGTATCACTGCAGTCCAGTAATTGTTCCCGTATGTCGACTTTATCAAAATCAGTGAGATTGAAATTGGCAGGTAATGAACGGCGCCAACAAAAGCAGGGAAAATCCCATGAGGAAGATGAAATAATAACTATTCTCGAGAACTGAAGGAAAATGCACAATCAAAGACTAGAAATGTTTTATGTTAGTATCTGGAACAATACGAATGAGAAAATAATTTTCCTGTGTGCATGGGGGGGGGGGGGGGGGGGGGGGGGACACACTGCCCCCCCCCCCCCCCCCTAATAAGCATGTTGTAACAATCGTATAATAAAGGGTGCTTCGTTTAAATTTGGGGTGATTTTGATTGACAGGCGAGGAACCAGCAGCGTACTCAAAAATGTGCCAGACATGTAAAACGGATGTGCACGCAAAACTCAAATTATAATGCAAACGAATAACCAGAACTTTTTGACGGAGTATACTGCCGGTAAAATCGAAGTAGGAGGAGGAGGGAGAGGAGGAGAGAGAAGAAGAAGAAACGTATCTATTATCACAAACAATAGTAAATACTACATATATCATTATAACCGACCCACGGTTGAACAAGATATACATAATGTGTTTTGATTAAAAATCTGATGATGTTTACATTGGAACTCCCGTGTATCTCAGAACAAGGCCAGCGTTACGGTGAAGGACGTGCAAGGGATGACGTCACTACACTTAGCTGTGATGGCGGGGAAACTGGAGCTTGTCAGGCTGCTCCTAGAGACCAACTCCACCCAGGTTAACAGCAAGGTGTGTAAGGGCATCAGTCGCCTCATACCTCACTTCTCTCTCTCTCTCTCTCTCTCTCTCTCTCTCTCTCTCTCTCTCTCTTGTGTCCCCTTTGTCTGCATTCATCAGCTGTTGTTTTTTTAGATTGTCCGTTTTTCTAACAGCCTACATACTATCTTTTTATCTATCTATCTATCTATCTATCTATCTATCTATCTATCTATCTATCTATCTATCTATCTATCTATCTATCTATCTATCTATCTATCTATCTATCTATCTATCTATCTATCTATCTATCTATCTATCTATCTCTATCTATCTATCTATCTATCTATCTATCTATCTATCTATCTATCTATCTATCTATCTATCTATCTATCTATCTATCTATCTATCTATCTATCTATCTATCTATCTATCTATCTATCTATCTATCTATCTATCTATCTATCTATCTATCTATCTATCTATCTATCTATCTATCTATCTATCTATCTATCTATCTATCTATCTATCTATCTATCTATCTATCTATCTATCTATCTATCTATCTATCTATCTATCTATCTATCTATCTATCTATCTATCTATCTATCTATCTATCTATCTATCTATCTATCTATCTATCTATCTATCTATCTATCTATCTATCTATCTATCTATCTATCTATCTATCTATCTATCTATCTATCTATCTATCTATCTATCTATCTATCTATCTATCTATCTATCTTATCTGTCTCTCTGTCTGTCTTTGTGTGTGTGTCTATGTGTGTATCTGTTTGTCAGTCATTCTATCCATCTTTCCATGTCTATCTATCTATCTATCTATCTATCTATCTATCTATCTATCTATCTATCTATCTATCTATCTATCTATCTATCTATCTATCTATCTATCTATCTATCTATCTATCTATCTATCTATCTATCTATCTATCTATCTATCTATCTATCTATCTATCTATCTATCTATCTATCTATCTATCTATCTATCTATCTATCTGTCTGTCTGTCTGTCTGTCTGTCTGTCTGTCTGTCTGTCTGTCTGTCTGTCTGTCTGTCTGTCTGTCTGTCTGTCTGTCTGTCTGTCTATCTATCTATCTATCTGTCTGTCTATCTATCTATCTATCTATCTATCTATCTAATCTATCTATCTATCTATCTATCTATCTATCTATCTATCTATCTATCTATCTATCTATCTATCTATCTATCTATCTATCTATCTATCTATCTATCTATCTATCTATCTATCTATCTATCTATCTATCTATCTATCTATCTATCTATCTATCTATCTATCTATCTATCTATCTATCTATCTATCTATCTATCTATCTATCTATCTATCTATCTATCTATCTATCTATCTATCTATCTATCGATCGATCGATCGATCGATCGATCTATCTATCTATCTATCTATCTATCTATCTATCTATCTATCTATCTATCTATCTATCTATCTATCTATCTATCTATCTATCTATCTATCTATCTATCTATCTATCTATCTATCTATCTATCTATCTATCTATCTATCTATCTATCTATCTATCTATCTATCTATCTATCTATCTATCTATCTATCTATCTATCTATCTATCTATCTATCTATCTATCTATCTATCTATCTATCTATCTATCTATCTATCTATCTATCTATCTATCTATCTATCTATCTATCTATCTATCTATCTATCTATCTATCTATCTATCTATCTATCTATCTAATCTATCTATCTATCTATCTATCTATCTATCTATCTATCTATCTATCTATCTATCTATCTATCTATCTATCTATCTATCTATCTATCTATCTATCTATCTATCTATCTATCTATCTATCTATCTATCTATCTATCTATCTATCTATCTATCTATCTATCTATCTATCTATCTATCTATCTATCTATCTATCTATCTATCTATCTATCTATCTATCTATCTATCTATCTATCTATCTATCTATCTATCTATCTATCTATCTATCTATCTATCTATCTATCTATCTATCTGTCTATGTGTCTGTCTGTCTGTCTAGTGAGTAACCTATGAAGTAACCTATGAAGTAACAAAAAGTGAGCGCCGGTTTGGTTTCAGGCTTCAGAAGCCACCAGTTGATTTTCCACTATGAAAGCAAGGGAAAAACAGGAAATGATAGAAAGACAAAACACAACAACGAAGGACAGAAAAATGCAGAAAAATGAAAACAAGAAAGCAAGAAAGCAAGAAAAGAAAGAAAGAAAGAAAGCAAGCAAGTAAGAAAGCAAGAAAGCAAGAAAGAAAGAAAGAAAGAAAGAAAGAAAGAAAGAAGAAAAGAAAGCAAAGAAAGAAGAAAAAAAGAAAGAAAGAAAGAAAAGAAAGAAAGAAAAAGAAAGAAAGAAGAAAAGAGAGAAAGAAGAGAAAGAAAAAGAAAGAAAGAAAGAAAGAAAGAAAGAAAGAAAGAAAGAAAGAAGAAAGAAAGAAAAGAAAGAAAGGAAAGAAAGAAAGAAAGAAAGAAAGAAAGAAAGAAAGAAAGAAAGAAAGAAAAAGAAAGAAAGAAAGAAAGAAAGAAAGAAAGAAAGAAAGAAAGAAAGAAAGAAAGAAAGAAAGAAAGAAAGAAAGAAAGAAGGAAAGAAAGAAAGAAAGAAAGAAAGAAAAAAAAGAAAAGAAAGAAAGAAAGAAAGAAAGAAAGAAAGAAAGAAAGAAAGAAAGAAAGAAAGAAAGAAAGAAAGAAAGAAAGAAAGAAAGAAAGAAAGAAAGAAAGAAAGAAAGAAAGAAAGAAAGAAAGAAAGAAAGAAAGAGGGAAAACACCATGCCAGACTGTAAGTAAAGCTGACTTCCTCCATGCCAGACTATAAGTAAAGCTGACTTCCTCCATGTGTGAGTAAAGCTGACTTCCTCCATGTGTGAGTAAAGCTGACTTCCTCCATGTGTGAGTAAAGCTGACTTCCTCCATATGTGAGTAAAGCTGACTTCCTCCATGTGTGAGTAAATCTGACTTTCTTCATGTCAGACTGTAAGTAAAGCTGACTTCCTTCATGCCAGACTGTAAGTAAAGCTGACTTCCTCCATATGTGAGTAAAGCTGACTTCCTCCATATGTGAGTAAAGCTGACTTCCTCAATGTGTGAGTAAAGCTGACTTCCTCCATGTGTGAGTAAAGCTGACTTCCTTCATGTCAGACTGTAAGTAAAGTTGAGTTCCTTCATGTCAGACTGTAAGTAAAGCTGACTTCCTTCATGTCAGACTGTAAGTAAAGCTGACTTACTTCATGCCAGACTGTAAGTAAAGTTGACGTCCTCCATGCCAGACTGTAAGTAAAGCTGACGTCCTCCATGTCAGACTGTAAGTAAAGCTGACGTCCTCCATGCCAGACTGTAAGTAAAGCTGACTTCCTCCATGTCAGACTGTAAGTAAAGCTGACTTCCACCATGTCAGACTGTAAGTAAAGCTGACTTCCTCCATGCCAGACTGTAAGTAAAGCTGACGTCCTCCATGTCAGACTGTAAGTAAAGCTGACTTCCTTCATGTCAGACTGTAAGTAAAGCTGACTTCCTCCATGTCAGACTGTAAGTAAAGCTGACTTCCTCCATGTCAGACTGTAAGTAAAGCTGACTTCCACCATGCCAGACTGTAAGTAAAGCTGACTTCCTCCATGTCAGACTGTAAGTAAAGCTGACGTTCTCCATGCCAGACTGTAAGTAAAGCTGACTTCCTCCATGTCAGACTGTAAGTAAAGCTGACGTCCACCATGTCAGACTGTAAGTAAAGCTGACTTCCTCCATGTCAGACTGTAAGTAAAGCTGACGTCCTCCATGCCAGACTGTAAGTAAAGCTGACGTCCTCCATGTCAGACTGTAAGTAAAGCTGACTTCCTCCATGTCAGACTGTAAGTAAAGCTGACGTCCACCATGTCAGACTGTAAGTAAAGCTGACTTCCTCCATGTCAGACTGTAAGTAAAGCTGACGTCCTCCATGCCAGACTGTAAGTAAAGCTGACGTCCTCCATGCCAGACTGTAAGTAAAGCTGACGTCCTCCATGCCAGACTGTAAGTAAAGCTGACTTCCACCATGCCAGACTGTAAGTAAAGCTGACTTCCTCCATGCTAGACTGTAAGTAAAGCTGACTTCCTTCCTGCCAGACTGTAAGTAAAGCTGACGTCCACCATGTCAGACTGTATGTAAAGCTGACTTCCACCATGTCAGACTGTAAGTAAAGCTGACGTCCTCCATGTCAGACTGTAAGTAAAGCTGACGTCCTCCATGCCAGACTGTAAGTAAAGCTGACGTCCTCCATGCCAGATTGTAAGTAAAGCTGACGTCCAACATGTCAGACTGTAAGTAAAGCTGACTTCCACCATGCCAGACTGTAAGTAAAGCTGACGTCCTCCATGCCAGACTGTAAGTAAAGCTGACTTCCACCATGTCAGACTGTAAGTAAAGCTGACTTCCTTCATGCCAGACTGTAAGTAAAGCTGACTTCCTTCATGTCAGACTGTAAGTAAAGCTGACGTCCTCCATGTCAGACTGTAAGTAAAGCTGACTTCCACCATGTCAGACTGTAAGTAAAGCTGACTTCCACCATGTCAGACTGTAAGTAAAGCTGACTTCCTCCATGCCAGACTGTAAGTAAAGCTGACTTCCTCCATGCCAGACTGTAAGTAAAGCTGACTTCCTTCATGTCAGACTGTAAGTAAAGCTGACTTCCTCCATGTCAGACTGTAAGTAAAGCTGACTTCCTCCATGTCAGACTGTAAGTAAAGCTGACTTCCACCATGTCAGACTGTAAGTAAAGCTGACTTCCTCCATGCCAGACTGTAAGTAAAGCTGACGTCCTCCATGTCAGACTGTAAGTAAAGCTGACTTCCACCATGTCAGACTGTAAGTAAAGCTGACTTCCACCATGTCAGACTGTAAGTAAAGCTGACGTCCTCCATGTCAGACTGTAAGTAAAGCTGACGTCCAACATGTCAGACTGTAAGTAAAGCTGACGTCCTCCATGCCAGACTGTAAGTAAAGCTGACGTCCTCCATGCCAGACTGTAAGTAAAGCTGACGTCCTCCATGCCAGACTGTAAGTAAAGCTGACTTCCACCATGCCAGACTGTAAGTAAAGCTGACTTCCTCCATGCTAGACTGTAAGTAAAGCTGACTTCCTTCCTGCCAGACTGTAAGTAAAGCTGACGTCCACCATGTCAGACTGTATGTAAAGCTGACTTCCACCATGTCAGACTGTAAGTAAAGCTGACGTCCTCCATGTCAGACTGTAAGTAAAGCTGACGTCCTCCATGCCAGACTGTAAGTAAATCTGACGTCCTCCATGCCAGATTGTAAGTAAAGCTGACATCCAACATGTCAGACTGTAAGTAAAGCTGACTTCCACCATGCCAGACTGTAAGTAAAGCTGACGTCCTCCATGCCAGACTGTAAGTAAAGCTGACTTCCACCATGTCAGACTGTAAGTAAAGCTGACTTCCTTCATGCCAGACTGTAAGTAAAGCTGACTTCCTTCATGTCAGACTGTAAGTAAAGCTGACTTCCTCCATGTCAGACTGTAAGTAAAGCTGACTTCCTCCATGTCAGACTGTAAGTAAAGCTGACTTCCACCATGTCAGACTGTAAGTAAAGCTGACTTCCTCCATGCCAGACTGTAAGTAAAGCTGACTTCCTCCATGCCAGACTGTAAGTAAAGCTGACTTCCTTCATGTCAGACTGTAAGTAAAGCTGACTTCCTCCATGTCAGACTGTAAGTAAAGCTGACTTCCTCCATGTCAGACTGTAAGTAAAGCTGACTTCCACCATGTCAGACTGTAAGTAAAGCTGACTTCCACCATGTCAGACTGTAAGTAAAGCTGACTTCCACCATGTCAGACTGTAAGTAAAGCTGACTTCCTCCATGTCAGACTGTAAGTAAAGCTGACTTCCTCCATGTCAGACTGTAAGTAAAGCTGACTTCCACCATGTCAGACTGTAAGTAAAGCTGACTGTAAGTAAAGCTGACGTCCTCCATGTCAGACTGTAAGTAAAGCTGACTTCCACCATGTCAGACTGTAAGTAAAGCTGACTTCCACCATGTCAGACTGTAAGTAAAGCTGACTTCCTTCATGCCAGACTGTAAGTAAAGCTGACTTCCTCCATGCCCAGAAAACAGTTCTAGGAAGGACCCCGCTGCTGTTGGCCTGCTCCAGCAACCAGTCCAAGATGGTGGCCCTACTGCTGACCTTTGGAGCAGACACGACCTTGACCACCGTCTACCGGAAGTCTGTCCTCCACGTGGCTGCTACTTCTGGATCCCCTGGGGTTCTATCGACAATCATGAGAAGTTCGCCCAATCCAAATCTTCTGGCGATAAATAATCAAGTATGTTTGTTTTTTTACCATTATGTCGTCTGAGTGAGTCTCATTTTGAATTTTAACCGTTTCGGACACAGGAATGTTTTGTTCTTTCCTCAAGTGTTTCCATTTCAGGATTACAATCTGTAGCATTAACAGCTCATGGATGAAAATCAAACTGGTTCACATCCCGGAAACTGCGTTTAAACGTATAGATATATAGTATAGTTATACTGGGGTGCTATTAAATGCTTTCAGAGTTACATGTAGTCCAGTGTGGGCGGGCTGTAAGATGGTTTTATTAATGTCCATCTATTTTTGTGTTCCCGTGCTGTATTCCCTTTCTGTGTTTGCTATATAGATACTTAACACTCACTGACTCATAGAATCATATTCCGGGTATCAGGCCAACCGTAGACAACCATCAGTCTCAAGGGATCATGCAGCGATGCCGCTAGTTTTGGGAACAGCGTCTGTCACAACTGGAAAGTCCAATGTGGTAGTGACAGATTCTGCCCCACAAAGCACATAAAAACCTGGACACCCTATAGTAGACTCGAGCCAGTTTTCTCTAAGACATCTCTCCAGGTGTGTGTGTTAATGTTAGTGTCTTTCCGGTCGTGTTTGCAACGTCCTTACAACGTAGCCTTGGCTTCCTGTAGACCCCTTCCCTGTTTCCATTTCACCATACAGGAGATCCTTTGGAATGCGACCGTCCTTCATGAGGGAGACATGTCCCAACCAGTACGAATGTCTTTGCTTCAGTAAAAAGTGCACTGTAGGCATTCCTGGTCTTTTGAGTACACATTCTTTGGGGACAAAGTATCGTTATAACATACATAGAATGGGTCTTGTTTGGTGCACATGGAAAGTATGCCGTCTGTTTTTCGAGGAGCATACAGAGTCCAGGTTTGATGGGGGTTTTTTTTCTCCAAATAGTTTTAAAATGTTTTTATGTGTCATATATCTATGGCCATGTGCTCACATATCCTAGCCTTGACATCCAGTGTTTCTTTCCGACCCAGACTCCCCTGCACTGTGCAGCTGTCAGGGGCGATGCCACTATCATCAAGATGCTGCTGGACGCAGGGGTCAAGGCCAACATGAAAGACTTTGACGGCAACACAGCTCTACATCTAGCAGCCCTGGCTGGTAACAATGACGCAATCAACGTTCTGATCCAGCACGGCATGCAGGTGAACCTCACCAACTTGCTGCAACAAACACCCCTGCATCTAGCCTCCATGGCAGGCCATACCAAGACCTGCTCACTGCTTGCCAACGCCGGCTGTGATGATAACAGTCTGGATCTCCATCAAATGAAAGCTGACATCTATCTGGACAAGTCCGATCGTCAACCTCACCAACAGACAGATGTTGTTTTTGGAGTGAAAAGGGAAGCCATTGCCGTACGTTTCTACAACTGTAATTCTACACATCTTCAGGGGATCTAAGAGAGTACAGCTGGTGAAGTTGTATTGGAAAGTGTGGATATCAACAAAAGGAATCCTTTGCAACACATAGAAAACAGAAGTGATGGTAAGACATATGTTCTTGCCATCTCAGCTGCTCAGATTAGTCTAAACAGTCATTTAGAAAGCAACAAAGCAGAAGAAATAATAAAAGGTGACAGACTGACCAATGAATGCAGGACACGGGTCAGATTTAACTCTCAGCATTTTACTGCAGGAAGCACCAACACAGACTCTTGTGAGGAATCTTCTTAAGATGAACAGACTGGCAGTCGACAAATCCAAGCACCTCGCACTAGAGATCATAAATCTAAACCAAGAATGTTCCACAGAAAAAACAATAAATCTGGCAATTGTCAGACTCGTAAAATGCATGATCACAGTAATGGTGGAAAAAGCGATGACATCAACAGACAAGAAGACACTGAACACCGCCAGAGAAAACAAGGTATCACGTTATGAAACTATATTCCACAAGAGACATGGATCACCATGATTTACAGATTCTGTACTGGTTGTAACAAACGGATGAGATTTCCTCAGTAAAACATGGCAGAACAAGGCATCAGTTAAAACTCACAAGCTTATTCACAAACTAAAATGGCATGCGTTCTATGTTGTCCCAATGTCTTCTCTAAAATCACATTTAAATTATGTCCCTAGCAAACCCTGTGCTGCTACATAACCAATACAAACATCCTCATAAATGGAATGTTTCAAAGTCACAGATTTTTTTATCATTTTCATTTCAAAGTCCCATTCGGCGTATATTCGTTTTGACAATCAAATAACAGTCCACCAAACCTCATTAATAAACTATAGCCTTCTCCCACAGCCAGACTGATCCCACAGCCAGACTGATCCCACAACCAAACTGATCCCACAGCCAGACTGATCCCACAGCCAGACTGATCCCACAACCAAACTGATTCCACAGCCAGACTGATCCAACAGCCAGACTGATCCCACAGCCAGACTGATCCCACAGCCAGACTGATCTTACAGCCAAACTGATCCCACGGCCAGACTGATTCAACAGCCAGACTGATCCCACAGTCAGCATGACATTGAAACACAAATTTTCAATCTTTAAGGATTGAACCAGCAACAGTATCTTAACAAACAATTGCCCTACCCCTATACTACGTTGGCCTAAAGAGTAAAGTGCTTTACCAAAAGATATTTAAAAGATTTTTTTTAATGGTTACAAGAGGATTAAACAAACCAAAACTACAATTAAAAAATAACAGAAACAGAAAATTGTCAAAAGGGGATTAAACAAAGAAAGAAAAACAACAAAATCAATCAGCTATCAAAGAAGAACTCAACTCTACAACAACAAAATCAATCAGCTATCAAAGAAGAACTCAACTCTACAACAACAAAATCAATCAGCTATCAAAGAAGAACTCAACTCTACAACAACAAAATCAATCAGCTATCAAAGAAGAACTCAACTCTACAACAACAAAATCAATCAGCTATCACAGAAGAACTCAACTCTACAACAACAAAATCAATCAGCTATCAAAGAAGAACTCAACTCTACAACAACAAAATCAATCAGCTATCAAAGAAGAACTCAACTCTACAACAACAAAATCAATCAGCTATCAAAGAAGAACTCAACTCTACAACAACAAAATCAATCAGCTATCAAAGAAGAACTCAACTCTACAACTACACAATCAATCAGCTATCAAAGAAGAACTCAACTCTACAACAACACAAATCGGAAACTTATCCAGGTTGAGAAAGACACAGATACAGTTATACGGTTCGCGATTTTTTATTCCACAAATCTCTCTTGTGCTGCAACGACCACAATGACTGAGAGGCAACAACCCATCAAAGATGTTCCCACTTGTTAATTATTTCAACATGTGTTTGTTTATACCAGGTTAGGTGGTGCCCCCTTTAGTATATGGCCTAACCCCCCCCCCCCCCCCCCATACCAAAAAGTGAGATTAAGAAGAGTAAAACAAAAAGAAAAATCCCAAAAAATACTGTTAACAGGAACTTGGAGAAAAACAAGCACATAATTCTGTGTTTTATAATTTAAAAAAAAAACAAAACAATCACCAAATGTCAGTCTGATGGCTGACACTGTTTTGTCTCGATATCTGCTGGTTTTGTGGTCTGATTTTGGACAAGGCACAAAAATCACTCTCCATATCAAGCTGGTAGTGATGTTTTGTTTTCATGACTGGTAAAACTGGAAATCCTGTTTATTACATGTACAAATGGACTCAATTTGAAAATTATTTGACATACCCACACTGGGAAAAAAAAGGGGGAGTGGGAAGGGGGAGCGCATCCCCAAGGTGGAGACTACTGGTTTAAACCAAAACTAGAAAATATTGGCAGCAATAGTAGAACGGTGATACGCAAATGAGCCTGACGGTTGTAGGTTCCAATCTGTCTTTATTCACATGGGGGGGGGGGGGGGGTGTTTAACTGACTGGGACTCTCAGTTCTGCCCGGTCGTAAAGTCTGTACCAGGAAATGATCTAGAGTGTAAAGACGGCTGCTGTGAAATGGATCACAACATCCATTGAGTGCTGGCAAGTCTGTACAAATATGGGATTAGTACCACAAATTCTATACGCCTAAAGGATCTTTCATTTACATACAGGAAATATTTACTTAACCCTTGCTTCTCTTCTACTTCTTCTTCAAGGTCACAGACTGAACTCTGGTGGAAAGTTCTGGTTGTTTGGCCACTTCTGTCTTGTTACAGAAATTGGGTTTTGCATTCACAACCATTTTACACATCTGTCTTATTTATAAGCAGGCTGTTGGTTCCTCACCTTTCAGGTAGATGTACTCTTACTTCAAAGGAAACACCCTTAATTAGTCAGCTTCCACAGCATGTTCGTTAGGGAGGCAGTGGGTCTATTCTTTTCTTTTTTCTCTCCTCCAAGATGGGACCCCAGAACCCATACATGGGACCCCAGAACCCATACATGGGATCCCAGAACCCATACATGGGACCCCAGAACCCATACATGGGACCCCAGAACCCATACATGGGACCCCAGAACCCATACGGAGATCTTGCTGCTCTAACCTTTTTTCCGTTGAAAGCTGTTTGCAGTTCTAATATTTATAAATGATAAGTTCTTCAGTACAGAGTCTGTGACACTTCAACAATAAGAGGTTAGCAGGTCTAAACCAATTAGGGAGCAGTTTCTTCACAGTAGCTGTTTCAACAATTAGTGTTTTCATCAATTAATGCAACTGACCCAGGGGCTTACATGATATTTTCCATTGCCTAGCAAGAAAGTTCTTAACCACATCTATATACACTGGTAAGTATAACAGAAGATTTGTACAATACTTATTTGACCTGGGCAGGGACACAGTTTCTCATCCAAAGACCTGAGACCCTAATCCCTTTTAAAAGTTGTCTCTTGTTCCCTGCACACACTTCTTCCTTGTTCCCTGCACACACTTCTTCCTTGTGCTCTGCCCACACTTTTTCCTTGTTCCCTGCACACACTTCTTCCTTGTTCCCTGCACACACTTCTTCCTTGTGCTCTGCCCACACTTCTTCCTTGTTTCCTGCCCACACTTCTTCCTTGTTCCCTGCACACACTTCTTCCTTGTTCCCTGCACACACTTCTTCCTTGTTCCCTGCACACACTTCTTCCTTGTTCCCTGCACACACTTCTTCCTTGTTCCCTGCACACACTTCTTCCTTGTGCCCTGCACACACTTCTTCCTTGTGCTCAGCCCACACTTCTTCCTTGTGCTCAGCCCACACTTCTTCCTTGTTCCCTGCACACACTTCTTCCTTGTTCCCTGCACACACTTCTTCCTTGTTCCCTGCACACACTTCTTCCTTGTTCCCTGCACACACTTCTTCCTTGTGCCCTGCACACACTTCTTCCTTGTTCTCTGCACACACTTCTTCCTTGTTCCCTGCACACACTTCTTCCTTGTTCCCTGCACACACTTCTTCCTTGTTCCCTGCACACATTTCTTCCTTGTGCTCTGCCCACACTTCTTCCTTGTTCCCTGCACACACTTCTTCCTTGTGCTCTGCCCACACTTCTTCCTTGTTCCCTGCACACACTTCTTTCGTGTTCCCTGCACACACTTCTTCCTTGTGCTCTGCCCACACTTCTTCCTTGTTCCCTGCACACACTTCTTTCGTGTTCCCTGCACACACTTCTTCCTTGTGCTCTGCCCACACTTCTTCCTTGTTCCCTGCACACATTTCTTCCTTGTTCCCTGCACACACTTCTTCCTTGTTCCCTGCACACACTTCTTCCTTGTTCCCTGCACACACTTCTTTCTTGTTCCCTGCACACACTTCTTCCTTGTTCCTTGTGCCCTGCACACACTTCTTCCTTGTGCTCCGCACACACTTCTTCCTTGTTCCCTGCACACACTTCTTCCTTGTGCTCTGCACACATTTCTTCCTTGTGCCCTGCCCACACTTCTTCCTTGTGCTCTGCACACACTTCTTCCTTGTTCCCTGCACACACTTCTTCCTTGTGCTCTGCACACACTTCTTCCTTGTTCCCTGCACTTCTTCCTTGTGCTGCTTCCCTTGTGCTCTGCCCACACTTCTTCCTTCACTTGTTGTGCTCTGCACACACTTCTTCCTTGTGCCCTGCACACACTTCTTTGTTGTTCCCTGCACACACTTCTTCCTTGTGCTCTGCACACACTTCTTCCTTGTGCTCTGCCACTGTTGAGATCATTTTAGGAAGACACTTTTCGGGGAATAGATTACAGCTTAGTCATCATAGTCCTGTTATATTTTTAGTGTAAATTGTGGAATACAGGTCGACCTGACGTACACGTCAACCTGGTGTTCATGTCGAGCTCAAGATTTTTACGAGAGCGAAGTCATGTAATAAAAGCAACTGTATCCTAGTCGGCATGGAACAGCATGCATGACAACGCTCACCACAACATGGCTCCGCATACAGTGGACATACTATAGACTCTGTGATTTGAAGTATTGAAAC